TCCGGCCACTTCCACCCCGGGGGAGCGCTCCGACTGTAGAGTAATGACACCATCAGTGTTTACGGTGGGCATCGTTAAACCTCCCTGTCGCTGTGCCGTTCTGTCTGCCACCATGACAGAAACCTCACATGAAAAGCTCAGTTTAAAAGAACAGTTTGAGTAACTGTGGAAACACCACCTGGCATCACAAAGAAAATGTTTGGATGAGGCAAAGAAGGCGACAAAGGAAAGAAAAGGAGAGCCTCAGGACTGGAGAGGGTTTGGAACTGACCTTCAGTTGGCATTTCTGCTGGATCAGTCAGTAATAAAATCTGCCTGCTTATGAAGACAACCAGGTGTCTCACTCTGCTTTTATCATGGCACCAACATGGGACTCTTACAGTTCCTTGTAGTGACCAGGCTGTTTTCTGTAGCTGTGTTGTCAGGCTGAATGAAAAATCAACCAGGTTTCTTTTATCTTTCTTATGAGTTGATCGTGTCTTGTGTTGTGTTGTAGGGACAAAACAAGCCAGTCTTTGTGACAGAGGTGCTCTGATCAGGTGAGGAGGGACTGCAAGAGTCTTACGTCACTTTTAAACAGAGCAGTCAAATCTCATTATTTGGAGAAAATTAATTGTCTCTACTTCATATACATTTACATATAAAAAAATAAATAAATCTGCAGCCTCCAAAATGTGAAGCGTCACTAAGTCTGCTGAAAAGGACATTTTAGAATCAACTGTGACAATAAAATAATTCTACCAGTGCTGATCACTGTACTCACCAACAGCTCCTCCCCTCCAAGCCCCCTGTTGTTGAACACCACACATCTGGGGAAGAAAGCCACTATGAAATGAAAACAGCTTCTCCAAACGTTCCTGGAACCGCTCGACGACGTATCGACTTCAGATGTAATTACAGAACAGAAGCAGTGTTTTTCTGATGGGACACCGCTGACCTGTAGCCGTGGCGCGTGGCCTGGTTGATGGCGTGAAGCACGTAGGACTGCTGGCTGTTTCCCGTCAGGCCCGGGAGGATCAGGACCGTGGGGCGGGTGGAGGGCTCTGGGTAGGTGACGCTGGTCTGATTGTCCACCCAGTCCAGAGAGATCTGACCACCGTCAACCGTGCGGATCAGCTCACTGAGACACGGAGAGGGCGTTAAAATATCGATAGAACGAGAAGCTTAATGTAAGTTTAATGTAACCCTCTGAACTCCTGTTTGTTAATTAATGTGGGTTTATGTTTCACTGCCATACAAAAACCCTGCACCTCCATGGAAACGGCACAGCGACGGCCAGAAGTGCAGATGTGTTTTCTGTGCAGCACAATAACGTGATAACAGCATGAAGTTGAATTTCTTTGACATTTTGTTTTTACAATCACTGACTAAAACTTGGAATCAACATTTTCTCAACAGATGTTACTGAGAAGTGGTGGCTCTACATACTACAGATATTTTACCTTTTACATTCTTAATATCCGTCTCTACTTGTCTCCTGTTTGCTCTGACAGCCTGCAGTTCAGCCCAGCTTAGCCAAACAGTCCCTTAATCGGTATCACATCCTGGACTGCTGACCACAGGGGAGTTATTAATGATTTTTAATTAATGACAAGACGTTTTTTATTATTATTTTACAGAATTCAGTAAGCGTATTATTCTGACAACATTTTCAGCAAGACATGAAATAAAAAGTGAATCTGATGAAATACAATTTTCGGCTTAGGTTTGGTTCATTTTCCTGATAGAACCACACTCACAGATGAGTAGTTCAAGGACAGTCGGAAATTTCAAAATCTCTGTGTTTTCTAAGCCCTTCGAACCCACTGGCTAGTTTTGGGATTCAGAGGGTCACAGATCACAAACGTGAGATGATAAGTTGTCTGTGTCAGCCCCTAAGTGAAAGGACAGAGTTTACTTCCTACTTGCGATAAGCGACGGGAGGTCGGGACTTGATGAGGGCACAGACCAGGGTTTGAAGCCGGCCTCCCCAGCACCAGGGGGTGGGACTGAAGCGCTCAGCCACCACAGGACAGTGTTTGTGGAGGAATACGCTAAAAGCCTCACTACAAACCAGGGCTGGTGTCTGAAGAGGGAAAAAAAGAAAAGAGACAAAATGAAAAGACTGGAAAACAAAGGAGTTTTTTTTTTTTTTTTTAAACAAACACCTGTGACAGACAAGGAAGCGAGCACAACAAGTGCTGTGGCGTTACGCTGTCAAGCATTCGTCGCTCGTTTGAACAGCACATCAGTCGTTAGCAGAAGCTTCAGGCACTTTGGATGTTTGATTTAGGTTTTTTCTGCATTTGGTGTGAAATGAAATGACATAAAAAACTATTTTACTTCACTTTGAAATGCACTCTCATTTCAGTTTTGGTGTCTAAACTGTTGCATGGCACCATATTCATACCTCATCCAGCTTTGGAAATAATTATTAGACCACTGTGATCATGGTTTTGAAATGTTAACAGTTTTAATTTATTGTATGAATTAAATTATTATACTATTTCATGTCTTTTAGAAAATGCTGTGATTATCTGAACACTATAATAACATTACAATAAAACAGGCCTGTTGTGTGGACTTTGTAAAGAAAACTAATAATTATTTGCAAAGCTGTATTTTCTTGACAAGTGCAATAATCACCAATCAAAAATACAAAAAAAATCCTCTCAGGACTGCATCTTAGTGCTTTATGAAGAATCTTTGATTGTTCACATGATAAACAAATTACTATTAGCTGCAGTCCCGAACATAATCATCTTGTGAATTAAATCAATATTAGAGAGGCCTGAATTTGGTAGAAAAATATCTAAACTATATAAAGAAAACACAACATTAGTAGCATTTTTGGATTTTCAAAAAAAAAAAAAAAAAAAAGCGTATGTTAGGATTTTGTTTGTGTGCAGATTAAAGGTAGTGAAAATTCACAAAGATCAGTATCTTAAAAATACTGATCTTTGTACTGCTGATACTCACAAGCAAACTTTTAAAACAGGAAAAAAAAAAGATTTAAAAATGATTAGATTAAAATAATGTCTTAAATAATGACATAAATAATTAGAAAGAATTTTAAAAAATTAAATAAAAATAAATTTGAATAAGTAAAATAAAGCAAAATACGGTGGAAAAAAGTGTGGAATAAGTTGTGAAATAAGAACAAATAAAATACTGTAAAATGAGATACAGTAATAATAATAANAATGAGATACAGTAGTAGTAATAATAATAATAATAATAATAATAAGAAGAAGAAGAAGAAGAAGAAGAAGAAGAAGAAGAAGAAGAAAAGTTTTTTTAAAAATATTTGTAAAAAATACAAAAAATAAATAAAAAAACAATAATATAAAAAAAAATAGAGAAATTAAATAAAAACACAAACAGAGAAGATGGATGGATGTGCAGTCATCAGCTAACCTTGACCACAGCGACTGACCTGACACTTGCGGCCCCACAGATAGTACAGTGCGGCCGTCAGGGAGCAGATGAACACCGTGTAAGGCCTGGAAACACACTCCCAGTATGTTCTCCACAGCTCCACATGGGATAAATAATACATGGCTGTGACCTGTGCGTCTGCCGCAGAGCTAACCTGACAGCCGGCGCTGTGTGGGTGACTCGACACAACGGAACAGGGAACTGACAGAGACACGAGAATGTGTTAAAGCCCGACAACCTGCCTTCATCACCACCCGCTAACGTTCACGGTGTTTTACTGCCTCTCCGCTTCCTCCGCCGCTCCCGCATCAGCTCCGACTGAAGCCGGTATCCACCTGCGGCCTCTAGGTGTTCTCTCAGCCGCCGCCGCCGCCGCTTCCTGGTTCCCGGAGACGTAACCGAATGCGTTTGGACAGAAGCTGCAATGTCAAAGTCCGCCTCCTGTCACGTTTCTGCCTACAAATATGGAGGTCATTCCGCACGCATGCGCTCTACTTCTACTTCCTACTTCCGGCGCCGCAACACAGCTGTTTTCTGCTCAGTGGCTCCGATATGAAACTACAGGTTTAAAATTCAGCAAATAATATTACTTAAAAGAGTAACGAAGTGCTTATAATGTTGTAATTTATTTTCTCCCGTGTTTTCTGTGTATGTAACTGGTGTAATAGATATAAACGAGGCAAACTGGGGTAAGATGCCTCCCTCTATATTTGCCCTCCTGACCTTTGGATACTGTCATTTTTCATTTCAGGCCTTTTCTTTCATGACACTAAAATTTAAATAGTGTTAATAACATTTTACTGGTCTGAAGAAATCAAAGTAAGAGATTTTAATGTGTTTTCATGTAATATTCTGACAACACAAAATAGGACTCTGTGTTTTTTTTATATAAATAAACATATACAAACTTTTTTTTGCACTGTTTTCCTGCAAGTCATGTGGAAGATTATCCATTATCCATCTAGAGCACCATAGGTATTTTTTAGATATACAGGCCTATCTTTCTGGACTATTTTTGTTATTACTAATATATTTACAGTACACAACATGTGTAATGTTTCATTAATATTCCCACCAGCATGCAATTCGCACCTAACAGACTATAAAATTAATGCATTTTCCAAGTTCTAGTCTTGTGTTTATGTGCCTCCTGCTATTTATGTGTCAGAGATAATAACACGAAATCTGTTTTTCTCCTCCTGCAAAGTAAACAAAAGGCACACTTAGCTGTTGCCTAATTGATCTATAGGTTAAACTACAGCTCTGTATCACTTTGCAAACATTTTTAGCAATCAATCATATTGAATCCCTCTCGTAACGCCGTCCACATGTTCAGTTACTATAACATTTCTGAGGCTGAAGAAGCTGTAACCGCCATTTCACTATGACTTTAAATATTTTCAGGTAAAATATACAGCCAGCCAATATTGTGCCTAGAAATAGCTGCAAAGTGAGAGCTCTTTCCAAACTTCACTGTTTATCAGTAAGCTTCTGCCGCACATGCATTGTCTGACCAAAGTCCTAACTCCTTCACGTTACCTTTGTTGAAACACAAACATGTGCTTATCATTACTCAAAGTGTCTCAAGATTCACATACAGTCACTTAAAAATGTCACATGCACCTTAACTATGAGCAATAATTGCTAAATGAAGTAGTTATCTGATAAAAAAGAAAAGAAAAAAATAACCTTGAGATCAGTGCAATGATTTATTTGGAACAAAAGCCAAGCAACAACATGATACATGTAGTTTGTTATATGAAATCCAGCAACATCTGCCTTTCAAAGCAGCGGTGAAGTCTCTAAATAAGGTTATAATCTCCTTATTGATGGATCTGTTGACTGTCTGTTGACTCATTGTATCTAGTTATGTGGGTTTCCTGCAACCATCTCTGACTCGATGCCACATTCATCTGCTCCACGCTTGATCTTGAAGAAACCTGTAAGAAGAAGACGACAGAGAAGGGTGTGATTTAACATGTCCACTCACCAAGTGGCAAAATTACACTTTGTGACACTCATTTTACACGGATGACCAACAAACATGACATTCTCTCTTCTCAGTCCCTCGTCACGTCGTACCTTTGTCTCCCCAGTCAGTATTCCAGGAGTTTGCAGCCAGCCAGTAGGGCGTCCCTTTCTCCTCTCCCCAGCCCAGGATCTTAATGGAATGACCGCCCAGCATATCCCCGGTCACGTGCTCGTACACACCTAGTACAGTGACAGAGGCCTCAGTGATTTATTCATATTTAACACATTTACTGCAGTTTTGGACAACAGGCTGGGCTCCAAGATTAATCCGGGAGGGGGAAAAAAACTACAAAATTCAGTCACAAAAAATGTATGTTTACTGATTTTTCTCTAATTGCTTTTTTTGCTCAGCAATTATTAATATATTAAATATTAATCTCTTCGTGCCAGCCTAAATATTTTAAATCAAACAATCTGAGAAGGACCCTGCATGTTTCTTATATTGATGTGGATGAATGTGGATGACATGGTGTAACTTCAGCTGAAAGTGAAGGAGACAGGGTGCTAATTGTGGAATAAAGTTAAACTGCTTCAAATGTAAGTTATAATCTAACCAACTATGCCAGTGGTTTGGAAGTAGGTCAGCACTAACGCAAAGTATAAGCAGTTAATGTGCTTCCAAAGATTTAACATTAATACACAATGCAGGTTCTTGTTTGCTCGAGTGTGCATGTGGATNACACGATGTGCAGTTCAAAGATCACGTCGACCTGATCTGATTGAAATCGCTGCATTAATGGAGTTAATAATAAAACGCCTGCGTTCACCTGTGGAATGGCACAGAAGTTGAAGACGCTCTGGTTGCGCAGGCGGGACAGGTAGGCGATGACGTCCGGGACGTGCCGCAGAGCATCGGTGACCAGCAGGTTGAGGCAGGACAGAGCCGACTCCAGCTTCTCGGGCTGGGCGAAGTCCTCGAGGCGACCCGCAAACTGGCTCCAAGCCTGCAGGGGCACACAGGACACACAACGTATTGACACGGCATCGCACGTCGTACAGCATCAGACCTTCAGCTGCTACGTGAGCGACATGAATCTAAAGGATCGAGTGTCCGTGTTGTTCAGAATCTATCTGCTGACTAAATCTGAGGTCCGAGTGCATTTACGTTGCAATACAGAACTGCTATCAACAGGCACATAGTGGAAAAAATGAAAAAAGAGCTTATTGTAACGCCTTTGTACATACATTTCACAATACGCACTGGAAATGGAGAACATGACAAGCATTGTGAAACTCTTGTACGGCACAGCTGCAGCCTCGGCTCAAGCACACAAACCGACACACTGGCACCAGACCGGAGGCTCGTGTCCGTACCTCCCGCGGCCAGAAGACACGTCCATCCTGTGTGTCCTCCAGATAATCTCGGATGATGTTGGTCTTCTGCAGGAACAAGCCCATGGAGTTTGCCAGCTCGGTGTCGCGCCCGACTTCAGGATCCTCCAGCTGGGACGCAGAGAAGAGCTGAGACAGCCCGATGCCCACCAGACCGGCCACGTAGTGACAGTACTGCACGGAGGAAGCACAGCACGGCGGCGGCTTAACAGTTGTAGCACAGCGTGAATCACAACTAACGTTCAGTTCCCGTGATGTATGAGGGGAAGCAGATTTGCCAGCATTAAACATTTACACAACGGCGTCAGTCAGAGTCACGCCTGGTCCATTTTACTGGACTTTCAGGAATTTTTTGCACAATATGTGGCAAAGCTTGATAAAAACTCAGGCACCAACTGAAAGCACATGATTACAACAGATAGGACGATGAAGCTAAACTGTCAGCACAAAATGACCCACTGCAGCTTTAAATAACATCCCTGCTATTAACTGGGAGTCGACCGATCTTCGTTTGTTTTGTTATTTTTAACAATTCATAATAAAATGCATTAATTACACTACTTTGGCACTGAAGCAGCTCCTAAACAATGATATAAACAACATTGCAATGATAGTTTGTGTATATGTTCTGCATATAGCAATTTCAAACCCTGGTTATTGGTCTTCTTGTTTGACTAATAATCAACATAAGTCCTGAAAAAAAAACAACATTATTTGACCTCTAATTCTAACGAGCTTTTATTGCTACCAAAAAGTTGGTTTTCCACAACAGGAACTCAAGGTTTTACATTTACAGAAACGGCAATCGGCGCCTTCAGTCGTTCTGTTTCCTCTGTGGTGCAGGATTCGACATCTTAACAACGGCAAATATGAGTTACTGGACGTAGCTCCAGATCTAGGAGCACATGGGTAGTAGACCAACGGGGGATTTGTTATGTTGGTCCATACGGTGAGTTTTGCGTGTAAGATTGCAAACTATGAGAGAAGACGACTGCTACTCAACAAGGTCACTGAAAAGGCAGAAAAAATGACCCTCGTTGTCTGAGTTCAACCAATCAGCATCAAGACCCAAATCAGCAGTTTCCCAGGACCGCCCCCCCGGAGCAGGTTTTTTTTTTCTCTCCCCATGAAAATGACCCTTAAAGAGGCTGAACAGGATTTTCTTGCAGGACGAAACACGCACAAAGGTTTGGGCTGCTTTTAAAAGATCCACAAGTTCCTGCAGTGGGTAACGATGGACTGAAAGCACTGCAGGCACATCATGACCTTTAAAGCCAAAAACACAAAAAATAAAAGTGTTGTAAGGTGTTGCCTCTCTAGTAGGTTTCTATCTAGTCTCTACTCTGACTGGACAGTATATTAGCTCCGTGAAAGCAGATGGTGTTGTTGTTTAAGCCATTTGTTTTGTTGTTGACGTCCAACTATAACCGTAACACGAGGATGACGTTTACCTGGTCCCACTCCTTCATGGATCCCACTTTCTTCTCCAGGAATTCGGCCATTCCCACCCCCATACGGTGGCAGATATCCGAGATGACGTCTCTGTATTCCTGAGCGAGGTTCCTGAACTCCAGTGATATCTGAATAGAAAGAACGCACGACGATTGTAGCTACCACAGCCTCAACGGGAACGACAAAGCCTTAAATTAAGCACTGAGAGCCCTTTGTGTCCAGCATGCAGCGCTACTGACCGTGGGGAAGTCCTCCAGAACCTGCCGGTCTTTCTCCTGGCTCTCGGTGAAGCACCACTCATCCTGGTACAGGTAGGTGTGGAAGTCGTTCAGCATCGGCACCTTCTTGTCCAGAGGGATGCTCATGTCGTCCTCCACTGTGTCCAGCGCGCGCAGCACCAGGTAGAAGATGCAAACGGCGTGTCTGGAACGTAAAGAGACGAAACGACGGCTGAGTGAGGAGTTGCCTTGGCACTGACATACAAAATCACAGAAATAGAGTCAAGTACGGGGGTGTTACTGTCAATGTGTGTGGAGAGTTGTGTGTCTGTATCCCAGTCTGTAGCGAGATTTGTCAAAGATCTGAAAGTGCTGCCTGCCATTGGGAGCAACTTCGGGTTCAGTGTCTTGCCTAAGGACACTTCGACCGTGGGAATCGAACCGCCAACCTTACGATCAGAGGACCACCGCTCTACCACCTGAGCCACAGCCACCCTTGGCTTGCAGGCGGCGTAACTCCTGTGGTACAGAGCGGCAGAATGAATGAACCTGTGAGCCTGAACTCAGGGCAAAGAAACCCTGAAGTTGCAGATTTCTCACTGCAGAAGTGCAGCAAAAGTTGTGTGAAAAGACAGACCGTTGTGCTTGACTTGTAGCTGGTGATTTGTCTGTATTTCCAGCACCTGTAGCCAAACACTTAGACTTTTTTTTTTTAAAATCTATTACTATCTTTGTACACATTCACAGATCTCACTACAGATTGAGATGCAGACACACAACTCTCCACACATTTGCAGATAGTTCTGCTACGATAAAACCCCCCCATAGTGGAGCAGATGAGTCCGGTCTACATGTAGAGGAATCACTATAAAGCTCACACACACTCACTGAAGGTTTACAGACAGCTGCCACTTCCAGCTCCGCCCTGGACAGCGAGTTTAAATTAGGCCGACTATTAATGGTCTGAATACCTGCCGCAAGTCCTCACGGTGTAAAACCTCCAAAAGGAATTCTTCTGTAATGTGTTTCTGAAGTGCTTCAAGTAAACAACACTAGAGCTGAAACCATTTGTAAATGATGCAAGATGAGCTATGAGCTGACGAAGAAGCCAAACGACTGCTGTTGGTCTTCTTACATGACTGAGTTGAGGTTTTCTTCACAGAGTCTGCTTGAGAGTCAGTCTTACTTTCTTTATTATTACCTTTTATTCTGCAGACAGTGACGATGCTGACGTCCCAGATAACACTCATCAACTGCGTTTAGTTTGTTGCTGAAAGAGTTGAACCAACGCTGGACGCTGCCCTCATCATGTCCTACTTGTTGTTACTTGCTGCTGTTTTGTTGCCTCTTTGTGTCGTTCTTTTCATATAATCATGTGTGTTATGTGTATGTTTTCTCCTTCCTTCATGCATTTAAATGCACTCTACTAACTCTGTGCCTCTCTCTCTCCCTGCAGGTATTTCTGGCTCTGATCTGCAGTTAAAGGTCTCACCGGTGTCTATGTTCTGGTCTTTGTTTGTCTCTGCTATCCTGGTCTCTCACACACTTTACCTTCACCTCAGCCGAGCTGAACTGCAGGCTGTGTGAGGAGACAAGCATCCAAACAAACTACCAACATAAGCAGTGAAACATCGAATATTTTGTTGCAGGATTTATGGATAAAACCTGTAAACATTCTGAAAATGTTGCACCTGTTGAGTCTTTTTTCTTTTTTGCAAAAAACAGGATTAAAAAATAACTTTTGTCCTTTTTATTCTGTTATAATACGTGACGTTACAACTTTTTTATACTGCGCTGAAGACATTTTTTTAAACATTATTCCTGTGTTGCACTTTGGTTCTGCTTTTGTCGTTTTATAAATAAATAAATAACTGGGACTTGACTATATTTGTGCAGACTTTTGCTTTAAAAAGAGCCACTGAGCTGTTATTTAGGGACACAAACAGATGACTTTCATTTGTAAAGGAGCTGCAGAGTAGCTCCAAACATCATTTGGTCTGTTTTGTGGAGACTTAAGACGAAATAAGTATTTAAGCATATGAGTATGAGCTCCCATCGTCTGTCTAAAAAACATGAAGACTGTAGAGCTGGATTTATTTCCTCAATGTCAGATCACTGTAACTCTGTACCTGAGTCATTTTAGTTCTAATCTGCAAGACTCCTAATAAAAAAAAAAAAAAAAAACAAACAGGAAAGCATCGCTCCTGTACTGGCTTCCTGCTGAACACAAAATTAAATGTATTGTTCTTGGGCACATTTCAGACCTGCCTCTAACATCTAAGACTTTGCTTTCAAGCAAATGTTGACATTTTAGAGAAAAACCAGAAGACTGACATGTTCTTAGTGGCTTTTGGATGCTGAATATTTTATATGTTTAATACTTTCTGCAGATTCTCAGTCATCAGGTCATGATAATCCTCAGAGCCTCAGCAGAAAGCAACGGAGCTTCTGTTTAGAAGAAGCATGAACACACATTTAAATCCCTTGGCTTTAGGATTTCTTGCATTTTAAAGTTTTTAAACAGCTGATGTGAGACTTGTGCATTAAAACAGGCATCAAGGTTTTATTTTATTTGGTAAATAATTCTCTGATGAGAATCCCTCTGAAGCTCCTACAATAAGGTTGTTCTAGGATTTGATCTTTCCTGTTTTCCTTCGTTTTTTGTTATCTTACACCAATTTCATTTTGTTTTGCACATTGATTTTTGTAACTTTTCCTCCTGATGTGTTACTTTTTGCAAATACTTTCGTTGACTCAGGTTGTTTTAAACTTGCTATCCAATGAAAACAATCTGTTGCCTGCACAGCAGTAGAGGCGATGGTCGAGCAGCACATGAACATCGGTGCGGACACACCTCCTCCTCCTCTTCCACCACCAGCCTGGACTCACCTGAGCTCTCCGTCCAGCGCCTGAATCACAGCAGCGAAGCTCCGGCTGGTCTGGTTCAGATACAGGTAGCAGGTCCGCAGACTCTCGCTCATGGACTCCTGGCAGGAGAGACGGAGAAAGGCCGTTTGTCGGTGGAAGCCTGCGGGTCGGAGTGCGCAGCAGGGTCGGGCGGCCTCCTGCAGGCCCCGCTCCCCGAGCCTCCAGCCCGGCAGGAGGACGCGAGGAGCGGAGCCGCAGCCCCGACTAGCCACCGAGAGAGAGCGCTTGAAGACGGACAGAGAGACTGAACACTTGCAGCAAGCTGCGGCCATGCGAACAGCCCGACGCATAGACTACGGAACGACGGACTCCATGTCGGCGCCACGTTTGGTGAAGAAGCTGCAAACGCGAAGTCCATGTAGAGGACAAGCGAGGCGCGGGGGTCGAGCGAGGTGAGCGGAGGTTTGGAGGACGGAGCTGGGAGCGAAACGGAGCGCTGCGCAGATCTACAAACTGCGCCTGCTCTGTGCGCAGCTCCGCGGGGCCGGAGCGCAGCGTTTGGAGATCTGCTGTTATGATTACGCACACTCCTCCCACCCCCACCAGAGCAACTGCTGCAATTCCCAGTGTCCTAATCTGCTTACAGCGAGGGGACCGAACTGTTCAACAGCATTTTACTGAACCCCCAAAGTCACACAGCCGTTCAGGAGGTTTCGTTTGACAGCATTAGTTATAAAACAAGCGATTAAAATGCAGTAAATCTGTTGTTGCGCACGCACCTAACGTTGGGGGTTATGAAACCTGCAGACATGAGTGTGACTTTGGGACCATCATGACCTACAGATTGTTGTGTTAAAATACATGCATGTGTTATGAAATCATCTGTTTCCTTCTTCAGAAGTTACTACAGAACCACAAATCAGTAAATTTGTCAAAAAAGCAGAACTGAGCGCAGCTGTCAGAGGAAGTGCGCTGAGAGCTATGTGTGTGTTTGCTGACACCTGGTGGCGGATAGTGGGAAGGACAGCAGCATGTTGTTCTGTTTTTGTTTTGTTTATTCAACACAAGTGTGTCAGCAACAATCTGTGACCAATCAGAGGTCCGGATTCAGGAGCCTTTCTAAACATCATGCAGTCAGATGATACGGAGCTCCTTCATGTTACGCTCTCAACAAGTACACGAATGTTAGCGTGACGGAAACGTTGTCATTGTACCGAGTCACTCAGAGCTGTGCAGGATGTTGTTGTGCAGCCCAAACTTTGTGTCGGGCAGCGATAGTGTGCTGTTGCCGAATATGTAGATATGACCGGCTACACCAAACGGAGTCCTCCTATCAGACTCTTGCGCGCTAGAAAAGTAGGATAGCAGCAATAATTATGCATTTGTGAGGTCAAAGGTCATGGTGAGATCTTCCACGTTCCTTCACGACACCTTCAGGTTCCCTCTCAACAACTTTTGCACCGATGGTTTTGCCGGCTGTATTGAAGCTGCTGTACTCCAGACTTCCTAAATAAATGAACACATCTGTTATAGCCGCTGTTTCAAATAGCAACAGCTGGACAAATCCACAGCACCACGGATTGAACCACAGCAGCAACCAAAGCCCAGACAGCAACCGAATATCCAGCCACAGCTTCACCATCACGGCAGGCAGAGCGGCTGGATGCTGCTGCAGATCAACCATCTAAAACGAGTAATAAGCACTGAATGCATCATCAGTTAATCATCAGTTTTTCAGTCGTGTCTGTGTTTGCCTAAACTTGGGCCGTGTGATAACTGAACTCACGCTGTTCATATCAGTCAGAAGGAATGGAAGGAATGGACAGCAGTTGTACTGTGACGGACCACAAAAGTATCGTGAGGTGTCGCAAAACTATTTCAAGGAATGCAACAATAATGCAGTGTCCACCCTCTACACCCTGCTTAGTGCCCTGTACAGGGTGTTCGGCCTTCTGCAGGGCTGTCCGAATGTTCAGTTACAAACGTTACGCCATACATAGTGCACTGAAAATATCCCACAATGCACCGTGAAACGTAGTCGATGGTCGCTAGCCAGCAACATGGACCATCGTGCGTTGCGCGAAAGGAAACGAGACAAATGAGAACACGAAGACTTGTCATTAAAATCTAAGTAGTTAAAAGCTAAGTAAATTCCAGTTCATGTTTTGTTAAACTTTATTTTACCCGTTTTGTAGCGACGCAATAATCTGTGATGTGTTTGCACAACATGGCAACGGCACAAATAGTTAATAGTGCGAGTGGTGTCCAAAATGTTACCTAGCCGAGGTTTTCCCTACATCCTATAAAGTGAGTCGTTAGTGAGTGGATGATTTCAGACACTAAGCTTAAATTGTGTAACTACAGACTGTTTCACTTTGAGCTGTTTGTGTAATTGAATGGTTTGTGGTCAAACATTAGCATTTATGCTACTTTTACATGACAGTTTAGCTTTTGACTGAAGGCGTTAAAAGTAAAATGTAAATGTCCACCTTGTTGAGATTGCCACTGTGAGTTTCTGACGTACAGCCAACTTGTGTCGATGGTAGCAGAGTAATGTAAAGGAGTTCATGTCTGAAATCGACTTTAGAGTGTTTTATGGCTCATGGTTCCTGCCTCTCTTGTCCCCTTTTCACAGCATCAGACATGTTGATGTGTTCAGACAGAGCTTAGTGCAGGGACCTGTAGCTGTGCTTTATTGGTTTATGCTTTATAAATGTCTTGTTTGTTTTGATTTTGATGTTAACAAGAGTGTTTTTTCCAATCAGGCTTTTCTCAGCTAAAGCGACTCACTGTAATCAGATCATTCCTGCCTGATTTGCATGAGATTATACGTGCATTTATTTTTAGCGCTCACTCCAGAGCTCCTCTCAGCGACTCCGGCTGGTTCAGATCACTGCTGCCTCCATCTGAACTCACACCGAGAAACATGATCATATCACTTCGGTACCTGCCAGTTTACAGCAGCTACGTGTGCAATTCTGTTTTAATTTTAATCACTTTTAAATGGCTTTGCTGCAAAGTAGATCAAGGACTTTTTAACCCCCTTGTGTCCCGGGATGCCCTCTCAGATCAGTAAATCGAGCTCGGCTGGTAATTCCTAAGTCCGGGGTCGTGAACGAGGCTGACCGGGCCTTTACCGTCACTGCACCCAAACTGTGAATTGGTCTGCCAAGTAAGAGCAGACGGGCAACATCGTTAGCATCCTCTGAAAACGTTCTTTTATTGAAAGGCCTTTATGAATATGTGCTAGTGTTTATTTATGATTCTTTTTTGCTCTTGTTTTATGAGCCGAATGTTTTAATATTCTTTGTTTTACGATCTCTGTTTTAATGCTCTCTGGGTTCTTTTATTATCTTTGTTTATTTTTAATTCATTTTCTTGCTTTGCTTTTTAATTATTCCATTACTGGAAAGCACTGGTTATAAAAACACTACGCAAATAAAGTTTATTAATAATATTTTTATAACCAGGTGGATACGTCGATTAAATTCAATCATGTGTAAAAGCAGCCTTTAGTCTCACTTGTATGTATATGAAAGATGATGCAGATCTAGTGTGTTAGTAAATGTTGGATATGGGGGACGGAGGTGCCCTGAAATAAGGTTTTGCACAAGGCCCTCAAAAAGTTAGGAGCTGCTCTGGCTGCAGCATCAATGCAGTTTGAAGTTTGTTGAATCACTTAAACTAATATTTTGACGATTTAATGAATCCAATAAAATACAGATAAACTAAAAGTATGACTCGCTTTGGGGAATCTCAGACACATTGTGTGGATATTATGGAACTGATGTGGACCCCGTAGGCCTGTGAAGTCTCTGCAGGCTCTGCTGCCTCCAGGTCACATTGGTGTTTAAACCTAAACAGTGGGATTAGCCCTGAAACATGCGCACATCATCTCCCCCCACCGGTGAGCCGGCCAAGCTCATTATATAACCTAAAGCCCAAGTCAATGGTCATCTCTTCCCCTGTGTACCTGAGCCAACACTTGGTGAGATCTAATTTGACCACCAAGTCCAATTAGCTGCCTCTCTGTCCACTGGCTCATTAAGCAGCAGCAGCAGCAGCAGCACACAGCTCACTGTGATGCAGAACATACAGTACAGTCTGTCCACCGGCCTGTGTGGCTGCAGTGAAAGCTGTCAGCTGATCCTCTGGAAAGGAGGAACAAAATGTGCAACACTCGACTGGTGAGAAAAACGCAGCAGCGCATCCGAGCTGCGCGCAGCTGCAGTGTTTTACCGTCACTGTGTGATGTCTAGATGAGGTTCTACTCACATAATCCAACTTTGGCATCACGGTCCTGCATCCCCCCATCTTGAACTTAAACAGGTTGAAGATCTCCTCCGGGTGTCCCAGCGACTTCAGGATGTCCATGTTGCTTCGGTGTGTTCGGCTCAGCTGCTCTGTTCTTCCTGTGAACCCGACGAGATGCTCCCCATCGACGCTGCAGCGGCTCCACCATGCAGCACGACAGCCCGGCGCTCGGTCAGGAGACTCGTCAGATCGACTGACGCCTCTGATTGGCTGGCGCGTCATGGGCTTAGCGCGCAGCCGCCAATGAGCGGCCAGAGCGTCTGGTGTGATGCCCCGCCCCCATAGACTGTCAGCGGAGCGCGGCTTCTGATTGGTCCGTTCGTTATCCGACTGGGAAACGATACCTGCTCAATGAAGTTAGTGATGATCCCAAGCAGCGGAGGTACCTGTTGACTGATGTCACTCTGGGTCCAAACATTCATGTGTGACAGAGAAATATGGAAATTAATCTGTCTCAGATATATTATTACGAATAAGAAAGCTTTTTTTTTTTTTAAATAGGTTATTATTTGTGTCCGACATACAAAGAATTAATATGAGAGGCACTGTCCGTTTTTAAACACATTTTTAATTTTTATTCAAAATATTTTCACCTAAGAAAATGTCACAGCAGTGGAGTCACATACTCATTAATATTAATTACAAAAAAAAAGCAAAAAGTAAAGGGTACAAAACACAAACCAACAAAAAATAATAGGTAGCCCGTGCGTTTTAAGACAGTTGTCACAAAGGAAGCGTTCAAAATGACATGTTGTTTGCCTCTTCAAAGTGCCTTTCTCTGTGAATTAAACGAGGCTGCAGGAGGTGTGTTGGCTCACACTCAGCTATGTGTGGAGTAAAGCTGCCTGAGTCTGAGCTAAGCTGAGCTGATTCATGGCCAAGTAGTCTATCAGCAAGTCATTAAGGTCATTAACGTCCCACAGGCCAGGCACAGAGAGCTTACGTAACTTTAGACTCTCTCCATCTCTGTTATTTGCAGTCTCACACACACACATGAACAAAACTTTACATACACTCGTAAAGACCACGTATATCAGCAATTTCCCAGAGGTTTCCACCAAAGGNGATGAGAGGTGTGTGTGCATGTGGATGAGAGGTGTGTGTGTGTGCGTGCAGTATGCAGAATGTAAACCTCACCGGTCTTGTACAGCAGAAAATCTGCATATACGTCGAAAGATGCCTCCACAGGCCCGAACTTGTACAGCTCAGTCATGATCTGCTCCTCCTGGGATGGGATGCTGTAGGTACGCCGACCTGAAGGGGGAGACACAGGAGACATGAAGGACAGCAGACGGAGCGGTTGCCATGAAAGAGGATGAATTGTAGAGGTCTGTACCGTAGTGTTTGTCCTTCACATATGACAGCGAGTATCCATCATTGCACTGCATCACACACTTGGGAGTCTCCTGGATGCTCCCACAGGGAGGACGGGTTCCGTTGACATGGTGCTGACAGGGGGCGATGCTGTAGGGTCTGCAGCCTGTAGCACAGTCGCCACACATCAATATCAGTCAGGACTTTAGCAACCCGCAAACAGTACGATCCACCTCACGTGTGTGATGAACTGACCGACTTTGGAGTTGTACAAGCCTCCAGTCACCAGCCCTTTGTTTGCCCAGTACTCCCAAGCAGAAGAGGGATAACCACCAAAACATCTACAACCACAAGAGAAAACAAAGTGGACACTGTGTGTTTTAATAGCTCTTTTGAAGGGGCTCTCCAGCGATTTAATCCTGCATTTGGACGTTTGAGGGTCTAAGAAGAGACTGATTGCAAACTTGGTCAATATTTTCTCGCAAACATTTCATCACTTGTCTGGGTAAAGACACAATCTCTCACTAGTGACCCTCCAGTGCCACAACACCATCTTTATCTAAAAAAAAAAAAAATGTAGATTTCCCTTTAAATACATAAGTCAACAAGCTGACAATGACATATTCATGGCAAACTTTCAGTCTTTGGATATTAAACCCGATTTTCCAGATGAAGTAGTCCTTTTCTGACACACTGAGTGTAAAATTGCCCTTTAAATGGACAAACTGATTATTCCTCCCATCACAATGACACTCACCCCATGCCACAATCATCACAGCAGGTGAGCAGATCTTCAGCGGAGATCTCCACAGAGATCTTACCACCGGTCTGGATGCATAACCTGTCAGATATTGCTTCAGCTGCCCCAAAGGCCTGCGAGAAACCGAAAATGGAAAAATGCTTAAAGAAGATGGCAGCTGGTTCTGAAATGACTAATGACAACTTTACACAGTAATGATTCTGTTAGGGCCTAAAGAAATCATGATAACATCATTGTTGTGATGTCTATGGATTATATTATCAAAAAAGAATGCTGTTAGAAAAATTCAGTTGTGAGTTTTGTCTCTATTTTAGCAAATGAATCACATGAGGAGAGGAAGCATGAGTCTAAAACCACAACTGTGCTGCATGTTGTTCCTCTGCTACCATAATTACCATCAGTATCTGTATATCCTGACTCACTACAGTCCCATCAGTGCAATATTTCCTTCATCATGTGTGATATCACTGATGACCTCAGTATTGTTGCCAGCATCACTTCATCTAGTCTCTTATTTTATTTCCAGTATTGTATTTATATCCCATCGTTTCTTCTACTCTTCACTGCATCTCTTAAATCATTTTGTTTTTTTCTGACCAATATCTGGCAAAATAATTTCCTTTGGGATTAATGAGGTTTTATCTCGTCTCATCTCATCTACTCGACTGTGATCTGTTTGTTGTGTCTCACCCAGCAGGATCCACAGGAGCCCTGGTCTCTGATCTGCTTGATTGTGGGACAGTTGGGCCACTGCTCGCGGGCATCAAAGCTGTCGGGAAGCCTTATTCCCTCAGTGTTATGGACCCTAAACGAGAACGGGAGGGTCATTGAGACACCGCAGATAAGACGAACCTGCTGACTGTCACCTGATTGGACATGTGATGGGCTGCACACACACACACAAACAAACACACACACACACACACACACACACACATACACACACCCTCATGCTGTGTTAAACGTACACCTCTGGCAGCTTGGGTCCGTTCCTGATGGTCCCACAAAGTGCCTTCACATGGCTGATGTCAACATTCTGGAAGTTCTTCCCGGCCTGAACGTAAAACAGTGGCGTTAAACGTAGAGCACAGAAACCTCTGCATTTAAGGGTTTTTGTTAGCAGCTGTCAGAAATAATGAAATGTCGTGAAAAGTGGACTGAAAAGTCTCACCGTCCAGGTGGTGTTGGCCTTGTTGATGACATCAACCATCTCGGAGGACAGGAGAGGGGGATGAGGGTGTCCCCAGGTGACAGAGACCGTCACCAGGACAGTGAGGAGGAACAGCGGACGCATCCTGCAAGACAGACATCAGGGAGAAAACACCAGGAAGTCCATCACAGCTCAACAGGAAGAGGGGTCTGTTCATGGAGCTTCACAGCGTTGCAATGAAATCAGGATTCAGGTCGGGATTTTCCTCGCTGTCTTCTCTGTATTCACACTGTGCATCTGCTTGAATTATTTTAGCCACATTCCCATGTTGTAATGACTGACATCTGAATTAAAGTTTAAAATAAGCACAGTGGTGTTTTAAAAATCAACGGAGCTGTACCTGCACAGAGACATAGCGACTGGAGGATGTCTGATAGGTGCAGGGAACATATAGATAATAAACTTTATTTGTATAGCACTTTTTAAGAACTGAATTCACAAAGTGCTTTTACATAATAAGGAAATGCAGTGAGACGAGGCGACGCAGGAAAACAACAAAAAGTGCAGGCGAACACTCAAAAAATATAAAAATACACACAATGAAAATGGAAAAGAACAGACTGGAAGGTGTATGATAATAAAACTAGTGAAACTGATTAAAAAGACGACATCACAGAGGGGAGTTAAGATAAAAGCTGAATATAAAAGTAGATTAATAAAGAGAGCCGGACAGCAGGCAGCACCGATATAAAAGAAACGGGCGAGAATCTAAAAGAGAACATCATTCGAAAGCGAATCTATAAAAATGGAATTTAAAAAGTGATTTAAAAGAAGATACTGAATCTGCAGCCTTATTTCCTCAGATAGGTCGATCCAAAGCCGAGGGGCCCTCACAGAAAAGTCATCTCTGGATCTGAGCCTCGACTTTGGAACCATGAGGAAGAACCCACCTGAGGATCTCAGGCTGCGTGTGGGGATATATGAGATACACCGGTGTTGACAATAAGTGCAATATCTAAACAATGAAATACTGATAGTTTCTTAATGATACACAGAAATGTGTAAATAATCCAGCGCAGTGACTGTCTGGTTGATACTCAACAAAGTAAGTGATGGTATTACACCTGCAGATAAAGACGCAGTAACTAACTTTTTATAAATACCACAGTCGTTATCATAGCCTCAATAACTATGTAGTGAAAATGTAATAAGTGACGCACTCTGGTATTATCGACTAGCAGCTACCTCTGGTCTGTGAAGTGGCACATTTTCAAATCATATGTGAGACCAGCCGAGATAAAAGGTATAAAATAAGTCTAATAAAAGCCCCCCCAGACAGTAAGTGATCACTGAACGTATGAACTAGAACGTTGCAGTCAGATCATGACATCCGGTGACTAAATATTGTTCATGAATCTATCACAGGAATCAGAATTTCATTGTTTGTGTTCTAAGTCAAGCATGCACGACATTAAACTCCCTTCCTATGAACTCAAAATTAAGATTTTAAAATAAATTAAGACAAGATGAAAAGAAAAACAACCTCCCAAGACCTCTAGACTTTTACCTGTGCTGCTGTCTGGACGTTCTTCTTTATGGAAACTCTTTTGTGTCACTGAGCAAAGCTTCCTCGCTGCTCTTCTTAACAAGACACAAGTTATGAGGTCACATGTCCGAGTAATAAATGCATCAGAAGTGTACATCTCATGTGACAAGTGTCCTCACAGCGGCTGACAGGTGCTCTTAAGACTACGATCCGGGTGCAGAAATACGAAAATATCACCTGAAAACCGTCTGCACCAGCCAAACACCCAAGCACATCACATTATACGAACTTTGAGCTTCTGCTGTGAAATAAAAAATAATATAATTTTACAGACTATAAAATCATTCACTTTAATGCACATTATAAGGCTGTAAAACAAAACGTGACTTTGTGCTGACGCTGGAGTTTCACACGGATTGGATTCTTTCACCTCTTTATTAGTTCAAATATGTACAAATCAGAATGTCACATTACATAGCAATGTTTGTAGCTCTCCTTTGGTTCTGTACAAGGTTACTGTGTGCTAGCCTTTCTACTCACCAAAGCTGCATTAAGGACACTTAGCTAGCAGTCTCAGGATGCATTTGTGCTGATACCAAAAGTATCAGAAATTCCATTTGTTCAGTACATCTTGGCTCTCCCTTATTCATTTTAAACAGTCTGTATCGGATAAAACTAACCTGATATTGCACACTGTTCCTATTTTTTTTCTCCCGTTTTAAAAGACAAAGTTGCAAGTTGAGTGAACCGAGAAAAGTGCTGAAACAAATCCACACCGCCCACACTAAGATACAGCGCAAAAGCTGTCGAGTGCACAGATTTCAGTGTTTCTCCTACAGAAACATAATAAGTGGATTACGAAGCTAGCTTAGGTTTGACAAGAGAAATAAGAAAAATAGGGTGTGAGACTAAATCCAACAAAAGCTTAATGAAGTTTGGTGTCTGTGTTTCCCCAAAATCCTAAAATGTGCATCGTCATGCTTTGTGCCTTTCAGCATCTTTGTCAACTTAAACGAGAAATTTAAACTAATAATGGGTCAAAAGTTTCAAACAAAAAGGGAGAAAAACAGAATCAACAAACATCAACTGACAAAAAAAAAAAAAAAACACCCTGAACTGTTTTCAGTGTTTCATCGATGCTGGTGAATTGAACCACACAACACTGTGTGTAAACAGTTTATCCAGACACAGGAAGGACTACCACACATCACTATCAGGTAACCTACAGGGACGAGCCCGTTTCCAGGACCCCACCACAGTCTCAGAAGTCCACGGTCCTGTAATAGACACAATGAAACGGCAAATAGGGAACAGGTTCCTCTAGTCAAAGGGGAACCGGACCTCCAGAGGGGGCACAAGGGGGCTTCATTAGTCTATATGCCCCAGGAAGGGTGAGGGTAACTGGGCTCACTGTCCCTGCATGTCTCCGGTGCCCTGCACCTGTGTGGCGGAGGCGCTGAGGTACTGCCAGCTGAGAGCGGCGAGCAGCATGGCAGCAGACAGGTACATGGGAGACCGGTGGTGGGTCCTGGAGGCCAGGCTGGACTGGGACAGCGCCGACTTCTCTTGGATGACGGCCAGGATGTGCAGGGTCTTGTCCCGCGACGGGTCGCTGACCGAGACCTTCTGTAAAATCTGCAGAGAGGAAGAGCGAGACGGCTCAGCGCACCGGCGTGGCGGCAGCAGGACAGACACACTGAGCAGAAAACACACCCACCTCCTGGCTGTACTGGGTGATGATGGTCTGCACGGCTGTCATGTTGGTGGCTTCCATCATCAGGGTGACAGCTTGTCCCTTCCTGATCTTCACCACTCCCTGAAACACCATGGGGTTGTTGTAGCACGTCGACAGTGTCGCTATTGCCATCACCTGGTCAGGAGAGGAACCACAGCTTGTCAAGGGAAGGAAAACAAACCAGTGTGTTGAACATTTGATCAGTTTTTGAAATTGATTCATCGTTTTGTCGTAAATCATTTAAAAAAAACAAAAAACTGCTGGATTTCTCTTAATTGGAACCTGTTTGGATTTTTGACATCTTTGGAGAAATTAACATGCTTTTTTTTTTTTTAATCATTTCCAGACATTTTACAAAAAACATTCAACACATTAATTTCTGTTGAATATAATACAGTTTTGTAAGCGCAGAGCTAAAGTGAAATTAAATTAAGGCTCGTCTGTACAAAATGGTGAGAAAGTTCTTAATCAAATATTAAATCATCTTTTGAGCCCAGGGCTATTTTCAGGCTCATTTCACGAAATTTACTTTTAAGCTCTTATCTTGGTCATTATAAAGTCCAGTCATACATCAAAGCTATCCAGATGTCCCCTCATTTGATAAGATATTTTCAAGGTTTTTAGCTTTTATATCAAGGAAGATAATATTTCTTAATTGGAGATAGTCGTGTTTTTTCCTGCATCTCACCACCGAACGCTGGCGGCAGAGATTTATTTCCTGAATTGTACCGGGAGCATGTTGTAACTCAGAAATTTGCTGCAATATCAAAACAGAATTCCTTTTTGGCACACAGACGGGCGACTAGTATTACCGGGGCGGGTAAGTTCTGCTGTTTAGTTTGATACGCAGCAGGACTAAGATACGATAAGGACTTTATGACTTATTCAAGTGACACGCAGGACCGAGAAAGACATCAGACAGAAGATGTTATTTTGCAGAAGTTTTGTCTGTCTTCATAATGTTTTTACAAGTATGTTAGAAGTATAGTTACAAAGCTTTACTCCTGCTCGTGCTAAGATATTAGCATTACACTGATGTGTTCATATGAGTTGCTGAATGATTCAGACGGTTGTGGAGGTGGACAGGTTGTAACTACGATCAAAATCTGATCTCTCGCCTCCACTTTGTCGAACAAACAAGCAGCTACAACTGTTGAAAAGATCAGATGCGCCTTATTGCAAAAAATACTTTTAAAAGCAATCTAACCGAAGAAATTTGGACACGAAGTGTGTTCGTTGGGCTCAAAGTGTTAAACATTAACGTAATGTGACACGATGTGCAGTTCAAAGATCACGTCGACCTGATCTGATTGAAATCGCTGCATTAATGGAGTTAATAATAAAACGCCTGCGTTCACCTGTGGAATGGCACAGAAGTTGAAGACGCTCTGGTTGCGCAGGCGGGACAGGTAGGCGATGACGTCCGGGACGTGCCGCAGAGCATCGGTGACCAGCAGGTTGAGGCAGGACAGAGCCGACTCCAGCTTCTCGGGCTGGGCGAAGTCCTCGAGGCGACCCGCAAACTGGCTCCAAGCCTGCAGGGGCACACAGGACACACAACGTATTGACACGGCATCGCACGTCGTACAGCATCAGACCTTCAGCTGCTACGTGAGCGACATGAATCTAAAGGATCGAGTGTCCGTGTTGTTCAGAATCTATCTGCTGACTAAATCTGAGGTCCGAGTGCATTTACGTTGCAATACAGAACTGCTATCAACAGGCACATAGTGGAAAAAATGAAAAAAGAGCTTATTGTAACGCCTTTGTACATACATTTCACAATACGCACTGGAAATGGAGAACATGACAAGCATTGTGAAACTCTTGTACGGCACAGCTGCAGCCTCGGCTCAAGCACACAAACCGACACACTGGCACCAGACCGGAGGCTCGTGTCCGTACCTCCCGCGGCCAGAAGACACGTCCATCCTGTGTGTCCTCCAGATAATCTCGGATGATGTTGGTCTTCTGCAGGAACAAGCCCATGGAGTTTGCCAGCTCGGTGTCGCGCCCGACTTCAGGATCCTCCAGCTGGGACGCAGAGAAGAGCTGAGACAGCCCGATGCCCACCAGACCGGCCACGTAGTGACAGTACTGCACGGAGGAAGCACAGCACGGCGGCGGCTTAACAGTTGTAGCACAGCGTGAATCACAACTAACGTTCAGTTCCCGTGATGTATGAGGGGAAGCAGATTTGCCAGCATTAAACATTTACACAACGGCGTCAGTCAGAGTCACGCCTGGTCCATTTTACTGGACTTTCAGGAATTTTTTGCACAATATGTGGCAAAGCTTGATAAAAACTCAGGCACCAACTGAAAGCACATGATTACAACAGATAGGACGATGAAGCTAAACTGTCAGCACAAAATGACCCACTGCAGCTTTAAATAACATCCCTGCTATTAACTGGGAGTCGACCGATCTTCGTTTGTTTTGTTATTTTTAACAATTCATAATAAAATGCATTAATTACACTACTTTGGCACTGAAGCAGCTCCTAAACAATGATATAAACAACATTGCAATGATAGTTTGTGTATATGTTCTGCATATAGCAATTTCAAACCCTGGTTATTGGTCTTCTTGTTTGACTAATAATCAACATAAGTCCTGAAAAAAAAACAACATTATTTGACCTCTAATTCTAACGAGCTTTATTAGCTTCCAAAAAGTTGGTTTTCCACAACAGGAACTCAAGGTTTTACATTTACAGAAACGGCAATCGGCGCCTTCAGTCGTTCTGTTTCCACTGTGGTGCAGGATTTAACATCTCAACAAATATGAGTTACTGGACGTAGCTCCAGATCTAGGAGCACATGGGTAGTAGACCAACGGGGGATTTGTTATGTTGGTCCATACGGTGAGTTTTGCGTGTAAGATTGCAAACTATGAGAGAAGACGACTGCTACTCAACAAGGTCACTGAAAAGGCAGAAAAAATGACCCTCGTTGTCTGAGTTCAACCAATCAGCATCAAGACCCAAATCAGCAGTTTCCCAGGACCGCCCCCCCGGAGCAGGTTTTTTTTTTCTCTCCCCATGAAAATGACCCTTAAAGAGGCTGAACAGGATTTTCTTGCAGGACGAAACACGCACAAAGGTTTGGGCTGCTTTTAAAAGATCCACAAGTTCCTGCAGTGGGTAACGATGGACTGAAAGCACTGCAGGCACATCATGACCTTTAAAGCCAAAAACACAAAAAATAAAAGTGTTGTAAGGTGTTGCCTCTCTAGTAGGTTTCTATCTAGTCTCTACTCTGACTGGACAGTATATTAGCTCCGTGAAAGCAGATGGTGTTGTTGTTTAAGCCATTTGTTTTGTTGTTGACGTCCAACTATAACCGTAACACGAGGATGACGTTTACCTGGTCCCACTCCTTCATGGATCCCACTTTCTTCTCCAGGAATTCGGCCATTCCCACCCCCATACGGTGGCAGATATCCGAGATGACGTCTCTGTATTCCTGAGCGAGGTTCCTGAACTCCAGTGATATCTGAATAGAAAGAACGCACGACGATTGTAGCTACCACAGCCTCAACGGGAACGACAAAGCCTTAAATTAAGCACTGAGAGCCCTTTGTGTCCAGCATGCAGCGCTACTGACCGTGGGGAAGTCCTCCAGAACCTGCCGGTCTTTCTCCTGGCTCTCGGTGAAGCACCACTCATCCTGGTACAGGTAGGTGTGGAAGTCGTTCAGCATCGGCACCTTCTTGTCCAGAGGGATGCTCATGTCGTCCTCCACTGTGTCCAGCGCGCGCAGCACCAGGTAGAAGATGCAAACGGCGTGTCTGGAACGTAAAGAGACGAAACGACGGCTGAGTGAGGAGTTGCCTTGGCACTGACATACAAAATCACAGAAATAGAGTCAAGTACGGGGGTGTTACTGTCAATGTGTGTGGAGAGTTGTGTGTCTGTATCCCAGTCTGTAGCGAGATTTGTCAAAGATCTGAAAGTGCTGCCTGCCATTGGGAGCAACTTCGGGTTCAGTGTCTTGCCTAAGGACACTTCGACCGTGGGAATCGAACCGCCAACCTTACGATCAGAGGACCACCGCTCTACCACCTGAGCCACAGCCACCCTTGGCTTGCAGGCGGCGTAACTCCTGTGGTACAGAGCGGCAGAATGAATGAACCTGTGAGCCTGAACTCAGGGCAAAGAAACCCTGAAGTTGCAGATTTCTCACTGCAGAAGTGCAGCAAAAGTTGTGTGAAAAGACAGACCGTTGTGCTTGACTTGTAGCTGGTGATTTGTCTGTATTTCCAGCACCTGTAGCCAAACACTTAGACTTTTTTTTTTTAAAATCTATTACTATCTTTGTACACATTCACAGATCTCACTACAGATTGAGATGCAGACACACAACTCTCCACACATTTGCAGATAGTTCTGCTACGATAAAACCCCCCCATAGTGGAGCAGATGAGTCCGGTCTACATGTAGAGGAGTCACTATAACGCTCACACACACTCACTGAAGGTTTACAGACAGCTGCCACTTCCAGCTCCGCCCTGGACAGCGAGTTTAAATTAGGCCGACTATTAATGGTCTGAATACCTGCCGCAAGTCCTCACGGTGTAAAACCTCCAAAAGGAATTCTTCTGTAATGTGTTTCTGAAGTGCTTCAAGTAAACAACACTAGAGCTGAAACCATTTGTAAATGATGCAAGATGAGCTATGAGCTGACGAAGAAGCCAAACGACTGCTGTTGGTCTTCTTACATGACTGAGTTGAGGTTTTCTTCACAGAGTCTGCTTGAGAGTCAGTCTTACTTTCTTTATTATTACCTTTTATTCTGCAAACAGTGACGATGCTGACGTCCCAGATAACACTCATCAACTGCGTTTAGTTTGTTGCTGAAAGAGTTGAACCAACGCTGGACGCTGCCCTCATCATGTCCTACTTGTTGTTACTTGCTGCTGTTTTGTTGCCTCTTTGTGTCGTTCTTTTCATATAATCATGTGTGTTATGTGTATGTTTTCTCCTTCCTTCATGCATTTAAATGCACTCTACTAACTCTGTGCCTCTCTCTCTCCCTGCAGGTATTTCTGGCTCTGATCTGCAGTTAAAGGTCTCACCGGTGTCTATGTTCTGGTCTTTGTTTGTCTCTGCTATCCTGGTCTCTCACACACTTTACCTTCACCTCAGCCGGGCTGAACTGCAGGCTGTGTGAGGAGACAAGCATCCAAACAAACTACCAACATAAGCAGTGAAACATCGAATATTTTGTTGCAGGATTTATGGATAAAACCTGTAAACATTCTGAAAATGTTGCACCTGTTGAGTCTTTTTTCTTTTTTGCAAAAAACAGGATTAAAAAATAACTTTTGTCCTTTTTATTCTGTTATAATACGTGACGTTACAACTTTTTTATACTGCGCTGAAGACATTTTTTTAAACATTATTCCTGTGTTGCACTTTGGTTCTGCTTTTGTCGTTTTATAAATAAATAAATAACTGGGACTTGACTATATTTGTGCAGACTTTTGCTTTAAAAAGAGCCACTGAGCTGTTATTTAGGGACACAAACAGATGACTTTCATTTGTAAAGGAGCTGCAGAGTAGCTCCAAACATCATTTGGTCTGTTTTGTGGAGACTTTAGACGAATGGAACATCAAATGACATCAATGCAATCTGAGGGAATGTAAGCTGCTGGTAGTAGCTTCAAAAGTGGAAAAAAAAAAGTATTTATCATATAAATATGTGCTCCCATCTTCTGTCTAAAAAACATGAAGACTGTAGAGCTGGATTTATTTCCTCAATGTCAGATCACTGTAACTCTGTACCTGAGTCATTTTAGTTCTAATCTGCAAGACTCCTAATAAAAAAAAAAAAAAAAAACAAACAGGAAAGCATCGCTCCTGTACTGGCTTCCTGCTGAACACAAAATTAAATGTATTGTTCTTGGGCACATTTCAGACCTGCCTCTAACATCTAAGACTTTGCTTTCAAGCAAATGTTGACATTTTAGAGAAAAACCAGAAGACTGACATGTTCTTAGTGGCTTTTGGATGCTGAATATTTTATATGTTTAATACTTTCTGCAGATTCTCAGTCATCAGGTCATGATAATCCTCAGAGCCTCAGCAGAAANCATTTTTAATGAGATGTTTTATTTAAATCATAAAAGCACAACTGGTTTTATTAACACGAAGCCATCCTTGTCTGCAGAAACATGTCTTAAAGCTGCTTTCTATAACCAAGTCGAATTTAACAATACCTGACTATCCTATGTAAGTAAAAGTATATGAATGGTAGCAGACAAATGTAGTAAAAGTATTGATGTTGCTCATTTGACTGATACAGTTGAAACCAGAAGTTCTCACAATCTGACATTAAATCAGACTGAACTGTTCCTGTTTTAGGTCAGTTAGGATGACCGACATTATTTCTATTTTCTGAACGCCAGAATAATGAGAGAGAGAATTTTTATTACTTTCCTCAAAGTCAGTCGTTTCCATCCATCTCCTCAGTATTTAGTAGCGTTGCCTTTAAACTGTATGACTTCGGTCAAGCGTTTTCTTTCCACAAGCTTCTCACAATAGTTTGATGAGTTCTGGCCCATTCCTCCTGACAGAACTGGTGGAACTGGGCCAGGTTTGTTGGCTGCCTTGCTCCATGCCTTTTAACCCACAGCATGATGCTGCCACCCCCGTGCTCCACAGCTGGGATGGTGTTCTCAGGCTTCAAGCTTCCCCCTTTTTCCTCCAGATGTACCGATGGTCATTAAGACCAAACAGTTCAGGTTTAGTTCCATCAGACCACAGGACACGTCTCCACTAATGAAGCTCTTTGTCCCTGTGTGCATTTACAAACCTTAAGCTGGCTTCCTTTGGGTTTCTTCTGCAGGAATGTCTTCTTCCTCTCTGAGCAGCAGAAACTACCCGTCTAGTCTTTCACAATGTGTTGTGTTGTCAAAGCTTGTTTTGTTAATGTTGTGTTAAAGTAGCTAAAGCTGTTAAATAGTGTAGTGGAGGAGAAAGTACAATATTCTTCTCTTAAATATGGTGCTGTGGACGTATAAAGTTGCAGAAGATGGAAATACTTAAAGTACGAGTTCCTCAAAAACTGTACATGAGCACAGTAGTCCAGTTAAATCCCCAGATTCTACAGNGTCTCACACACACACATGAACAAAACTTTACATACACTCGTAAAGACCACGTATATCAGCAATTTCCCAGAGGTTTCCACCAAAGGGATCAATAAAGTTCTATTCTATTCTATTCTATTCTATCGTAGCAGTCCTGAGTGTCCAGTGACTCCTGTAACTCTCAACGTTCTACGACAGAATCATTGAAACAAATACTTCTATTTTACAAAGAACAATCATGCATTTAGATTTTTTCATACATTAATTTTCCTCTTAAGACCCAAGCTCTTGTTTGATGTGCATTTTCATATAAATAAAGAAATAAAAAAATATAAAGAAAATAGTAATATAAAGAAAACAAAAATCTAAATTTAAAAGAATATATATTTTTAAAAAATCTAAATAAATAAAAATAATAAAATGAGAATAATGATAAAATATTTAAAACAGAACAAATTAAAAAATGAACTACTGTAGTAATATAACCCAAAATGTGATGTCCACACACGCCAGGTCTTAAGAGGTTAAAGGTCTTCTGGAAACATGACATAATCTGCTGCATCAAAAATATACACACAGTAATGCTAATATCTGCCTTTAGTAGCCGTCCACAAGCTTCCGGTTGTATCTTCGACCACCCTTCTCAACAGAACTGATGCAGTTAAACTAAATTTCTTAGTTTTCTGACTCTTTCTTCATCACAGTCCTCATGTTCCTGATGGGATTTAAGTCAGGACTTTGGGGAAGCCGGTCTAAAACCTCAATACTAGCCTGATGTTTCTTTAGGGTCATTGTCTTATTAGAACATCAAACTGCATCCAAGACTCAACCTTCTGGCTGATGATTTTAAAGTAGCAGAGCATAATACTGCCACCGCCATGCTTGATGGTAGGTTTGGTGTTCTTGGGGTTAAAGGCCTCACTTTTGTCCTCCAAACATATCTGCTCATTGTGGCCAAAAAGCTTAACTTTTGTTTCATCTGCCAACAGAACTTTCCTCTAGAATGCCTTTTTTTTGTCTATGCCATCAGCAGCAAAATTCAGTCAAGCTTTAAGGTGCATCCTTCTTGCATGGCATCCTCTCAGCTCATGTGGCTTGTGTTGTGGAGCTTCACAACAGTACGACTACTGACAATAAAAATGCTCACATAAACAGGCAATAAATAAGTCAGGTTTATTATGATACTTTAAAACAAATGAATCCACTCAATTAAGACTCAGTATATTCAAATGTCTGTAATCTAATGGAAGTTGATTATGTAGTCTGCAGGACAGCTTGATTAGTCGCGTACATCCAGGTGAAGATATGGAAGTTTGTGTAGATACTCAAAGACTCTTTACATAATATTAAAAAAACAACAACACATAAAGCATAAAGGGAGGAACAACCCTTAGAATAACACTGACAATGGTTCTGTTGTATTCAAGTGTAAGTCTTGGCAGCGTGACAGTGACTCAGCATGCACCATATAAACACTGAAACTGAGGCAGCATGTATGGAATGTAGGCCTTAGTGATCTTATTGTGTGTGTGTGTGTGTGTGGGCCTGCAGTATCCACAGATGTTTCCAGTGACCGCTGTCAGCATCACCGCCCACTTTCATTCATTCATTCATTCATCCAGGTTGGTCTCAGTTTCCTCCCACAATCATCCAATCATCCAATCATCCAATCCCAACTTTCCACTCAGCCCGCG